ATTAGTTTAATGTGTTTGTGATGTCGTATCTTATATGTAAGGGCCGCTGTAATTGGCGTAAGCTGTAGCGTGTTCCCTGCCATTGTCCATATATGTATTTTCTGTGTTTTAATGTTTATTGGCAAAGTTAACTCAATTCAATCCGCCAATATTAATTTCCGACGTATATGACGGGAAGATTAAATATTAAAGAACTTCGCGAGTATTTGCAGTAGACATACGAAAATACCACCAAAAAATTCTGCTTGATCGATACTATATATTCAGAAATATTCATATAATTTTATTGTTTCTTGCTCAATTTCAAGCGAATTTCTTACCTTGAAATGATCAATGCGGTGAAATTTATGCAAATGACACATTATCAATTTTGCTGTTGCATTTTGAATGTTCCGCCTGATTCAAATGCTCGTCTTTTTGCTTCTTTTCAACGTATAATAATAACAAATATACCAAAAGAATCGCCATCTTCCATTCTATAGCTCGGAGCAGTCTCGGGAAATTGCGAAATAATCTAAGCCTATTATGGCAATTCTTGTGATCGGAAAGTTTTCGGCCAACTTCGGACGCCAAATTCTTGGTAAAGCATTACAGTTTCCTGGTAAAAGACTGCAGGAATCACTTCCGGAGTGTGTGTTTACCCTAGATACGGATTTTGATTGGCTTAGGCAGAAAAACAAATCTTTTCGAGCAATTTTCCTGATTATCGCGCACGGGAACGTACGAGCGTTGAAATGTATTGTGTTGTAGTTTTGTTTGTATCGCATTCTGAAGACGTTTTTGGCTTTATTTTGCAAACTGATAGTGCTAGTAATGATGGAATGTCTTCGTATGAAGACAAGTATCTCAACCTGGCATTGGGAGTCGTGTCTGGAGTTTCAAGGCAAGTATTTGTATCATTTCTAGACAATTTCTATTTCAATGTTTTGCCGTTGCCATGGCGTTGTAAATTTATTTGTATTTAGTATAGCTTCACTAGTACGACCAAGTATGTCCTCATATCGCTTTTTTGTGTTGAAATAATCGTTTCATACTGAAATTGACAAATATAAATGGTATTTATTTATATTGTTGACGAAAATTTATGGTGTTTTAGGTATTAAAATCTCTGATTCTTAGGCGAAGTAAAATGAGCCTTGAGCACATGTTTGGTTGTTTTGTTACATACATAATAGCCAAGTATTCATACTTATATCTTACTAGTTGGCTCTTATTATAATTTTAAGTGGCACCATGTCTATAAAAGTTTTTATTTGCACTGATGAATATATTGATCCTGTTCCTATCTGCTGTTCCTGTTTCATAGCCTCAGGGAAGTAGAGTTCTGATGAGTCATGAGAACCCCACTCACCAACCCAGAGGGAAGGTAGGGGGATGAGTAGAGGTAGAGGGAAGCCCAGCCATTAGGACCTAAGGTTTCGAAAGCTCCCTGTCTAGCATACCCACTAGGCCCCATAGTACATGACGGAATCATATATGATGATCCTGACGCCAGGAATGTTCTCCCAGATTTTGCTCCTCACTGACATGTCCGGGATCCATTTCGATCAACTGTGAGCTTGAGTTCATTCGGCTCAATGAACTGTGAGCTTGAGTTCATTCGACTCTTTTTTACTACGGGAATGCTTCAGGAGGTAGTTTCCTGGCCATACCAATACATATGCCCACATACAAATAACTCAAAAGTTATCCCCATATACTAATAAAGAAGGGTCTTGCAGTCCACCAACCTTGAGAGGTTGATTGCCTTTTAGTATATGCAGGTTTGCTAAAGGTCGACAGTGAGATTGAAAATTATTGGAGTGTAAAAACCTTATATCATGGTCTGTGGGCAATAGAAATAATTTCTCGGGTTAGGTACAAAGCGCTTATGGCGTTTGTGAATATGGTAGATCCTGTACTAAAGACTACAGCAATAAACTGCATCAACAACTGTACCAGCCATCACAGAATATTGTTGTTGCAGACAAACACACTGTCAAATCAAGAAATAGGTTGGGGGTTAGGCAGTTCATGATAGCTAGATGACCTACTATGTGGGGAATAAATCTGTGGGTTGCTGCAGACAATCCTAATGGTTATATTGCGATTTTGAAATTTATACAGGAAGAAGTCCAGATATTCATCGCAACAGATTTGGGTATGACGTGGTGATCTGATATCAGTTTGGTTACAGTCTTAGGTCTTTTGTAGTACAATATAAAGGAAATATTTTCACCACATAATCCAATTATGTGCTTTGGCAAACATTACTGCTTTAGCAAACATTACTTTTTTATAACTACTAATTATGATGATGCCAGCCCAACAACACTTGGTCATGCTATTTGCAAATATTTTCATGTTCTAGATTGTGAAAACAATCAATTTCTAAACAAATGAGTAGTGATTATTTCAAATTTGAATAGCATGACCAAATTTTGAGGCTGGTTATGCCACTAATAACTAAAGTCAATGGTGTAATGATTATCTAAGAATGTATGTAGTAATTGTAGAAATAAAAACATTTTGCTAATCATGATTTGAGTGTTCTTTTGTGGGTACACAGACTTATTTTGGTGCCATACTATCTTTGGAGAGTAAGAAATATTGGAAATTTGTATTGATAACATGTTGCAGCAATAAAAAAGGACCTTTGATAAAGGTATTTGTTTCATGTGGGCACAAAATGTAAATTTTACTCTACTACCTAGTTTATATAAAAATTCAATAAAAATATTTCTATTTATGCCACATGTATGAAACTTTGGGTACTTGTAGATCATAACCGTGCCTTTCAGTCATATTCATAAAAATTTTTGACATATTTGAAATTTGAACCGTTAAATACATTTATGCATAATTGCAACATTTTTTTATATCATAATTTATGCAAATTTATGCGAGTAAATCGTTAACCAAGCTCCGGATGAAATTGAAATTGGTATCGTTGGAAAGCAGAAGTCCTCCTCTTTCGAACGATGCAATTTCTGTTTCCGTGCGATGTATAGTTTGAGAGATATAAGCGTTTGAAACAACACCACTCGAAATTGCTACTTTTCGACCGGATGGGAATGAGTTAAACTACAGTATGGTCACAGATGAGGTAAATACAGATATGAATCTCAAGGCAAATCGTGTCACACGGATTAAATAAACTTTAAAATTGTATTAATTCACTATTTTATTAAATTTTGATAATGCAGAGGAATAAAACTATACATATTATAGAAGTATTCATGTTTTTGTTATTGAAAGAAAAGAAAAAGAACACCAAAACAGACAAAAACCAATGAAGTAAATGAACAACCTCAAATAACCTTTGTTATGCCAACCATTGAAGTAGTTAGTTGGTAAAACAAGATGGACATGACATGTCTAGAATCTTTATTTCAGACACTTTTGCTGAAGGAGTGAAGAAAAGACAATTGTATTGAACATGTGCATCTTATTGCAACTCATTGATCTGTAACCTATGTGGTGTATGATGCACAAAATAGGGGCAAATCATTAGTTCCTTTTTAACCTTGATTTTTTCAAAACAAAGGAACTTATTGCCACAGCAATAATATTTTTTATTGCTTCCCGGAATAATTTATACTTGAAATTAATTATGCGAAATAAGTTAGTTGTGTGCACAAGTTAATTTAAGTATAATCTTATTAGTTGGAAATTTGGGTGGAAATCAGTGGTGAAGTGGGCCATCTTTCCTTTCTTATCAGGGTGTTAGCCAGAAGTAAAAAGAATCTGTGTTTACCTGAAATTGGGAAATGTATTTTAGCCTGAAGCCGGGCATTTCTTTGTGGGTCTGGTTGCAATGTGGTGGACATATAGAAAATATCACAGAAATTATTATCAGATGTTACCGTTTGTTGTTTTTTTTTTTGTAGGAATTGGCAATTGGTCGTTGATCAGTTGGCAACAATAAAACTGGCAGGGCCAATCCCCTGGTGAACAACCACAAATTTCTTCAAATATTGTTTTAATCCACTGGCAAGTGCAAAATCAATTGCAGCAGCAAATCCCTCTTTTGACTTCAGTTGCAGTTCAATAAAGTTGACAAGTTGAAGATTCTCCATGGTTCTCATACTTCTTACTTCTTTGTCATCACAATAGTTATGTTCTTCCATGATATGTCTCTCAAGTTCAGGGGCAAAAAAAGATTTTGTTATCCATTGCAGCATGGATGATGAATAACTCTTGGCTAAAGTACCCATTGATTGTGGAGATGTCACTGTATTTTGGCAAGCCTGGATGTCTAAACCATTGGAGAGATGTACATTACATATGTTTTTGGGGAGTTTTATACCTTTAAGATCTTTATATGCCTTGATCACTATTGTGCACATATTGACAGAATCTGATGCCTTATCATTCAGTGGGTACCGGTTTGTGTGGATTTTGGTAAAATCATCAATGATTAACACAAGGAGCCATTCATTTTTTGTTGCACATATAGTGTTGTTCTGCTAAAACAGTCATTACTCGATCTGTTGTTTTTATGCTACATGTGTCCCCAAGTTGATGCTGTGTTTCAATCCCTTCTTTGTTTATGTTACTAGAATCAAGGTACAATGACTGGTCAATTTGCATAGCATTACACTGCTGACTTAGTGAATAGCACATTTTATATATTATTGTTGCCGTTCTTAGTTCGTTCAGCAAAATTTTATTGGGAGAATGCCTTTTGTCAGTTACAGCAGCCATAATGTGGTAAAAATTATAGGTGGAACCAACAGACTTGCAAAAGGCTTTAAATTTGGTTGGGTCATAGATGGGCTTTTCCTTCTTCACAATGAAGTTACTGTACATGCTGGCTTTCAATAAATGTACTTCCTTTTTCAAGTTGCATCCTGTATATAAGTAAAAAAGATATGTGATCATGGGAAAGACTATTATTGATAAAATATTAAACCATTTAATAATTATGTACATGAATATTTAACTGTAGTGTCATTAGACACGAGTAAACCCATGTAATACATGTTAAGGGCTAAACTATTTTGATTGTATTAAAAGAATGCATACTGGAGAAATTTTACACATGTGCTTTTTACAAAAATACTTGTTAACTTAGTCTTCAGTACGTACTTTCAGATAGTTTTTTGAAACTCTTTTCAATTGTTTCAAGCATCCCTGCAGGTAAGACCACATCTCCATTTGGTTGTTCTTGTACAGCCCCAAAAATAGGGTCCTTTTCCACCAATGGATCTTGGCTCTCCTTGTTTTCAGCACTTTTGCTTTTGGCAGGAAATTCCTGTGGCTTCCATGGCTGTCCAACGTTTCTTTCATTTTTAGTTAACTGTTTTAAAAAAAAATTATAAAGGGCAAAAACTTACCGGTGTAAATGTAAAAAAACCTTTCCCATGCAGTTTTATATTACCGACGAGGTATAAAACTGAAACAGTATAAAAACAGCACACAACATGAGAAGATGTTCCCCCTGTTTTCTTGTAAGTAAAAAAATATTGAAAGCAAGTAGGACATAACACTGAGTGTCATCTTCGTTCTACGTAATGCCGAAACACCATAGTAAAACTTCGGCTGACGGGAGCGTTTTTTTCTATTGTTTTTTTCTCAACTTTCTTCTTACAAACCAAACATTTCTTGTGAGAAAATGCGGAAATTACATATATACAAACAAAAAAAAACAAAATTAGAACCCATGTTGAAAGTTTCATTGCCATTTCCTTTTACTTTTTATTCATGTTTATATCAGTAAGTTTAAGATAGTTTGTTTACAAATTGGACTTTAAAATACCTGCCACTGTTCTAAGTTCTGTGACAATCTTGCGATTTGTGCACTACACGCTTTTTTTTACCAGCACACTACACAAAATTTTCGTTGTTTAAAACTGCATATAAAATGCATATACCTAACTAGAATATAATTGACAGAAAGGTGTTAAAGTATTTATGGCTTGATTTGTCAGGTCATTCTCTAAGTACTTTACAAAATAAGATGTCCAACATTGATTATTTGCTGATTGATGACAATGGGGTGGGTAAATAGACATTGTAGACAAGCCACTGGTAAGAAAGATCAGGTATTTGGTGGTAAATCTGTTAATTTGCTTGGTAATCCTGGTATTACCACCTGTTTGTTATAAACCCCTGTATACCACTCTAAACCATCTCATGATTTACAACAACAGGGCTATTTTGCATATGTTGTGTTTGATAAAGTTGTAATACTTGAGCATATTCAGAGAGTAAGTGGTTCACATCTCAATCAGGTTATATTCTACGAGTTATTGTCCCGACCACAAAATGGCAAGTCAACTGACTATTGTTAACTAGGCAATCAAATTGTGTGCCAAATCTTGATGATTTCAAGTAGCAAACTACACTTATGAACACCTTATTAATCTGTGCAAACCAATAGCCACAAGTAATTGAAGACACTCAATAAAAAGGGCCAAATCTATTAGCTTTCAAGAAATGCTAGGTTTGATGCCTGTGTTTATATATTTGCAAAGGACCATGTGTGATGTTTACTGTGAACCTTATGGCATCATCTGGTCTGTGTAATGGCTATACCAATGGACCTTTAACCTTATAACTAAAATTTTGATCTAGACAAAAATTTCATCACAGCTTGAAAGAGCATCACAAAATTAGTAATATTGCAAAGTTTCATTACAAAATGTTGTAAACTTCGGATAATATAGCCTTGCGAAGTTTGTAATTTTCAGTCATTTTAGATTACAAACGGGAAATTGATACCCAAATCGGGTGTTATTAAAATAAAAGCCATATGGTTTCTAGTAGGCTCCTAGCTCACATTTGTAAATATTAAATAGCACTATATTATCTCATGTAATGTTTGGGCCAAACTTAATTTTAAAAAAATTAGCGATTCCCAGCAGCCTTTTGTGCTCATATTCGACTTTTCTGCTTTGCTCGGGGGACAACCTTAATTGAAATAGTTGTATTAAAAAAAAAAAGAAAAAAAAAGCAAACAGCCGTGCACGGGTACTAATCCCCCCCCCCCCGGCTATTTACACCCGGGGAAACGAAAGCATTAGCGAAGTCTAAAGTTCATCAGTCATCGCGGGCGCTGACCAACAAGTGACAATCTTGAGTGGGTGGTCATTCTCACTTATCTCAAAAATATGGCAAGCAAGATTTCAATTTTAAAAGACATATATTTGGAAAATCGTTTCATATACAATAAGCTTGAAGCAATTTTGTTTGAAGAAATGAGAAGAATTGGTTTACAACGGGAAATCGGGAAATATATGGCAAGTTTGCTTTGAATATTTTTAAAATGTTTACGAATTTTGTTGCTTTAACTTTTTACGTAATAAAAAACATGAACTACAGAAGCTCTAAGTTTCATAAATTACTGTTTAATTTGAGAAAAAATCTTAAAATGTAAAGGTGAACAAATTGATTTGAAGACTGAACTGAAATTACCTAACAATTTTATTTTATTTGTATTAAACTTATCATGTTTTGTTAAGTAAAAATAGTTTATCGGCAAAATGTAGGTTTACTTGAATGAACATTTCAACTCAGGTGCGTTAATGACTGGGTCAGGTTTCACAGTGAGCATTAATTCATGAAAAATAAAAGAAAAATTATTTACAACAATTTTAAGATGAATTGACAGGGTTTTGGGCGTTAATGCTACTCAATATAATTTTAGAATTTTTTTAACCAACCCAAAATTTTAAAAAACGTGTCACGTGACCAGTTGTTGGTCTAAAAATAGCAATGAAAACATGGAACTTTTTCAACCGCTTTGCAGGGAATGATTTAGCGGGTTCTCACTGAAACATTCAATTACAAATAGATTGCCAAGGAACTCTTCTAACATATTCAAACTTGTATCAGTGAAAATGTTGTGTTATTGTTGCGTAAAATGGATCCAAAGTCAAAACACGTGTTTCTACTTGCATATTTTCGTTAATTAAAGAGTAATTCCATGCCATTTCAACACAAAAAAACCTGATTTGACACCCACCCTCTTCAAATTTCTTTATATTTCGCAGGCAGTTAACATTGTGTGGGAATAGTTTAAGTTCAAAATTTGAGCATCGTAGCTGCAATAGTTTTTGAGATATCGCAATTCGAAATATGGCCCGAAAAGCAAAAAAGTGGGCGTGGCCAGTGCTAAATTCACCATTACCCTATTTTACATTTTGACCTGTAACTTCATACCTGTACATGGTATATCCTTCAAAATTTGCACAAAGATGTATTTGTATGCGGAGATTTCAAATATTGCACTTTCATCTTTGTATCTGCAACCAGTAATGTGTTATGGCACAACAAAAAGTCTAATTATGTGTTTCTGAAGACACGAAATATACGTCATCTTTATTGGAAAAAATTTTATGGAAGCCATACAGACACAACAGTAATTTTTATTCTACATCATATCCACATGCTATTCTACTTTTAAGCAAAATTTGGTGATGGTTAGTTGCCTGCTTTAAAAAGTAGAGCCCTTTAAAGTTGTCGTATTTTCTAAATAACTTTAATAGTACGTTTTGGGTGTTTGTTAAGAATAAAATACATTCATTGAGAAATGAGACTGCCAAATACTTTAATGTTTCATTCGATCCTTCTTTATTGATAGTGCATATTTAAAATTTGTTTTAAAAGTTTAAAAATTACATATTTATTAATAGTACATACGCAAAAAGAATATCAATGTATCAAAAGTATGCAATACAAATTATTTCTTATCTACCCCTGCTCGTGAACCAATTGTAGTTTCAGTGAACTCTTTTATTGTATGCTTGTAAGATGATGAAAAATGGCTTGATTTGATTGAAGAAGTTGACAATGATCAAAGAAATGCAAAAATTAATAAGGTTTATGCACCCAAAGTGCATCGCAAGATCATATTTCAGGCCTGTAAGAGGATACTTGTTAGCGATTGACCGATAATTGCGTCGCGTACTCGTGTCAGTCGTGTGAGCCATACGTTTCAACGGAAACTCTTAAACATCTTTATCGAGCTTTAGTCCAACCACACTTTGATTACTGCTCGATGATTTGGGGTAACTGTGGCGAATCTTTAAAGTGCCTATGCAACGAAATTTTCACCTCATTTTTTATTGTTTTTCTAAAAAGTACTGCTTGAGTGATGAAGAATAACGTTTACAGTTTCGTCATATCTCATCTCATTCTCAAGTTATCGCACTTTCTATATTTTGAGTTGTGACGTCACAAGTATGAGTTAAGATAATGGCAATAACAACAAAGTATGATATCTTGGTGAGTATTTAATAAAATTTAATGAAACTTGGTACACTTAGTGGGTGCAATAAAGTCAACAATTTGGTTTGTTTGTATGGTCGTCATGGCAACACACTCGTCCCCAGTCCCTTCTCTTCCAATTTCTATATTATGCATTTTCGGCGAAATAAATAGCAATTTCTACAATTTTCGCTTATTACTATAATACGTGTAGGTATTGTTATCAGTTGATACAGTTATAATATGTAAACATCCTCTGCAAGAGGTCTACGGGAGGAAAGTTCTGAAAAGAAGAGAAGAGACTGGGGACTAGTGTGTTGCCATGACAACCACATGACCTACCAAAAATATTCATATGAGTGCACCCACTAAGTGTACCAAGTTTCATTGAATTTTATTAAATACTCACCAAGATATCATACTTTCTTGTTATTTCCATTATCTCAACTCATACTTGTGACGTCACAACTCAAAATATAGAAAGTGTGATAACTTGAGAATGAGTTGAGATATGACGAAACTGTAAACGGCATTCTTCATGACTCCAGCAGTACTTTTTAGAAAAACAATAAAAAATGAGGCGAAAAATTCGTTGCATAAACACTTTAACTGATATTTCGCATAATTCATTATCGCCGTGAAGGAATAAGCCGCCCACGCGGTATAAATTTCAGCTTAGGAATATAATAACTTATGGACTTCGGTCAGATATGCAATAATAATTCATATCGCAAACCGGGTTCATGAAGATTTATTTCGTGTTACACAGTAAGGCCATGCATTTGACTTCGGTCTTCATCGCTTTCGGATTTTTTTAATCAGAACGTTTCCTCAAACTTATCGGCTTACATTGCCGATTGTTTCGTTGTAAACTGAGTGAACGGTTCGTTTCAACACACTACCGGTTAAGCAGATTTCCATGAGCTTCTGTAGTAATGATGACTCGTAAAGCGGACTTCTCTACTCCACATATAGGAAAATTGAGGCTACATTTTCATGTCACGCAGTCACAAAATATGATTGGTTAAGAGGTTTGGGATTGGATTAGATTTCGTGATTGCGTGACATAAAAAGATAACCGAAAATTGT